TTCAGCAACTACCACTCAGCTGGCTGTTGCAGAAATGGTCCCACTGAAGGGAATGGAGCTGCTCCCAGGAGTTTAAATAGGGACTACAGAGCTCTACCTTTTTGGAGTGATTATGGCTCATAGTCCTGCTGTAATGACAGGGCTCCTGATTGCATTTATGGATGTAACAGCAGCAAATACTCAGCTGAACTGCACAGCAATAACTCTGCTAATGTCCTCTGTCCACTGATTCACGGACCAAGGCTCAGGGTACCCACACAGCTCTGCTCAGAGGGACTCAGCAGCATCCAGGTGTCTCTGGGCAGAGGAAATCTGTTGGACTGCCAGGACAATACCAAACTGAGAACAGAAGATGATGGATTGATTTACAAAACATAAGATGGCTCACAAAATAGATTGAAAGATTGCTTTGTGCTGCTGGGGAAGTGTGATCCCATTAATTACAGGAGAGGTAAGAGATCAGCAGGCTGGCTCTGACTTATATTGGAGGATGATTGAGCAGAATGTGGCATCACAACAAATGTGAAAATGATTGCACTGTCTTCATTATTCTGGAATTCAGTAATACTGCAACAGTTGAAGATTAAGCTCTTAATTAAGAGTATTGATTTCTCTGGACATAGAAAATACAAGCTAAAATTGCACTAGAGCTGAGATTCTCCTGTTATCTTCAAAACAGGTACTGGTTTTCCTGCTAACACATTGATGTCAGGCCTGTCAGGCTTTGAGCAGGAAGCAGAAGTGGAGATTTTACTTTTCTTAGTAAGTTTGTGACAGAACAAAGTGCTGTGGTTTTGTGTTCAGTGGAGGCAGCACAATAAATGCTCTTGGATACAAGGGCTGGAAGATGAGCTTGGCTGTGCACTTCCCCTTCTGCTGAGGTTCCAGTTTCTCTGGGGCAAGGCAATGTGAGAAGCTGCTCTTCTATCCTCTGTTCCCACTGTGTAATGAAACAGCAAACTTTGAGGAAGCTTGAGACAGGTCCTGCTTCAAGGGCAGGGCTGTTTCACCTGTGCCAAAAGGCCATCAAGAGGATGTTCCATTCACTCTGACTCATATGTGCAAAGCAACTTTGAGGGTAGAGCTGTGCTCCCAATATGGAACTGTAACAATCATATTCTTCATGAGTCTTGTTTTACTTTGTGTTAACATTGTGGGGATTTTATTATGGTTTATAAAGCACTGATAGTTTTTGTTTTACTTTCTATTGGCATTCTGGGCTTTTTATTAATGTTTGTAAAGCACTGATCTCTGTAAATTATCCCAGGAAAAGGGAATTCCCTAAACATGTAGGTAACTTCATTCAACAGGCAATACTCTCACCCTGAGAAGCTTTCTAGGTGAGATGGAGTGCACCTCCACTGAGTTCCACTGAGACTGAAATTCTCTTGTGTTGGCTTGACTCATATTTCTTGGAATGTTGAGAGGTGGCAAGTGTAGTGAAGGCTGGGAATAGGGAGTGCTGCAGAGGAAAGAAGCTGTCCATGCATCTTCTGTAGCTGCTGGGTGAGACCAAGGTGATCTTGGCAGCTGCTTTTTGCAGGACTGAAGTGACTGAGGGAGGAGATGGAATCATCGCTGAGGCTCAGCTTTAGTGCATGGGGAGAATGCTGTGTAGTGATGCACCCAAGTAGCTGTCAAATCCAAGTGCTCCTTAAAATCCTTTTAGATTTTTATCACTAGTGAATGGTAAGATGTTAAGTGAAGTCATCTGATGCATCTTCTGTGTATCCTGTCCCAGCAGCCTGGAGAGGATGAGCTCCTACCTGAGGCAGCTCATCAATATGTAGGCGCTGACATGATGAGCTGGGCTTTGGTCTGCATCAGCTTTATAGAAATGAAGGGGCTGGAGCTATTCAGGTCTTGACATTGCTCATACAGCTCTGAAGTTCTGCTGTATTTTTTAGTAAGCAGATCCTCAACTGAATGTTTCCTGCCAATTTCATCTTTGCAAATCGGGCTAGTTCTTTATCAGTGAAGTAGTTGCAAAATAGAGGGTGCTGAGCAGCCATGAGCTAAAACCAGGGAAGTGACGGCACAGAGCAAAGTAGCAGGTAGTCTGACAGATGGAAAAAGTGTAGCATTCTTCCTTTGTGAAACTCCAGGCAACCACAAATAGGATTACATTTAAAAAGCCATAATAGCATGCAGGTGGTAAATGCTAGTATAAAAATCCTAAATCTAAAAGAGAAGGAAGGAAACAAGTGTATTAAAAAAAAAATGTTTAGAGAAGGAAAACAGATCAGAACAAAATAAGTCACTGCAGGAATTTATTAGAGAAAACTGATGCAGTGAGGTGGCATTTCAGGTGAAAATTTGAGAGGATTTTGTTCTCAGTAATTGCTAGATAAATGATAGTGTGGGTATTGACAGCAAGTTAGATTAAAATAAAAGGCCCACAATATGACTGTTTTAAATTCCCCTCACCTTCTGCATATCATTGCAGAAAATCACTGATTTCGAAAGAGAGATATCCAAAAACATAATGAAAACCACTAAAAATATTTGAGTTCATTGATGGGACATCATCAGCTTGAAATGAAAACAGTTTAAAAGAAAAATGGCTTGTTTTTGCAATTGCAATTGCCCTTCATTCCCCTGTCAGTTCTCTTTGCAAGCACATTTTCTTTCTCTCACAGTCCCTTTCTGTCCCTGTCACTCTGCAGAAACCCTGAGCACGTGCATGGCAAAGCTCATCAGCTGCACAGGAGAAAACAGTGGAACTGGGCATAGGCCAATGGCCATAATAAACAAACTGCAAATTATAGAATAAATTAAATTTAAGCTATCTTTCTAATGTTTTAATACTCCTCTGAGTCGTAGTGAACCATTGGTGGAGGGTTTTTTAAAGAAATACCATTTAAATTGTTTGTGTCCCGTGTAAAGTTAAGAATTACTAATGGGGCTGGAAATTTCCTAATTTCTGAATACAACAGGGAGCAATAAAGTTGCATTAATTTTGAGCAGCACTACTGCACAGAGATGTTCCTTGAGGGGCCATGAACAGGGAGGATGTGTTCCATGGGGCTGGGAGCCTCTGGGACTCTGTGCTGTTGGGGATCTGTGTGTGCTCCTGGACAGCGACACCGCTGCCTTGTAGCCCTGGACACAGTCAGCAAAGAGCCCCTTCTAGGCACAAGGAACACCTCTGACATGTACAGCTTCCCTGGCAAAAACAGACTCTGGCCTGGAGAAGTGTGCCAGGGAAGCTCTGCTGAGGAGAAGCTCGAAGGGAGAGTTGTGGGAGATGTTGGAACCATTCCCATTCCCTTCTGGGATGTGCTGCTCCCATTGCAGCAGGATCTCTCTCTCATGGCTGAAAGCGTTTCAATTACTCAAGGGCATTTCAGTACAATTCAGGACATCATATTGTCCATTGTTTGATCACCTAAACAGTGCTCTGCAAACATTCAGTTGTTATGTTTCTTCCAAGTTTATACTACTGCCTTGAACAAGGACGAAATGCCCAAGAAGGATTAGGCAAAGGTCTTTTTTCTGTGTCCAACATTTATTTTGTAATTATTACATTTGGAAAAGAAGAAAGCTTTTGGTATTGTTTAATTTTGCCAACATATGTTTCCAGTTTCTAAAACCTGGACAAAAGTGTCTTTCCCTCTCTCTTAGTCTCACTTCACTCTTGGCAAATGTCTTCCTTCATGTTCCTTATATCAAATCAAACAGACACGAGCATGTGTTTTTAATAACTGTAGGAGATGTTTTGGAAGGTGCAGTGGGCTTTGTAACTGCACTCATTCTGTCTGATAACTGAGCCCAGGAACAGCCTCAAATTTGTCCTACATTTGCCTGGAGCAAATGTCTCCACTGCCTGCAGGAGGAGCCTTGGGGAGGTGGGAGGAGAAAGGGGCATCACAAAAGGCACTAAGTGCAGAAACTGGTAACAGCTCAGATCTTAGAAATTCAAAAATTGTACCTCTGGCAGGGGGGCCTCACATCAAGTATCTTTTAAGGCAACACTATTCCTTTCATTTAAAAAATAATAAAGTTAAAATTTGCAAGAGGAAAATTTGGGCAGGAGGAAGATTTTTGGCTTGGAGGTACTTTCCTTCCTTGTCTGCTAATATTCAAAATTTCAGGTTCTTTCTAAATCAGTTTTGTTTAGAAAGGTCCTTACAAGGTCAGAGCACTGAAGAATGGTGTTGTTTCATTGAAGAATGAATGTTGTGTTTTGGATAAAATTATGTTTTTCTTACATTGTGTTCTGGTTTTTGAATTGCAGAGTGGGTACACAAACCAAAACCAAAGCACTTTAAATTTCTTATTAGAAATGTCCTTCCAGCTCTTCAGTTTATCAGCACATCCTGTCTGAACCTCACACTGTGGTGTTTGCTTCAGAAAAGGAAGGCCAGAAATTACTCTGGTAAAATAAAAATGAACAGGTATTTTAAACTGTACTGGAAGAGCCTCACTCCTCCATGAAAAAGTGAAGACATGCAGGTTGCATTTAAATGTTCCAGGGCACATCTGCTGTTACGAATGAATGCTATCTGTCAGCAATCCTCAGCAGCTGTTCAGTAGCAGAGTCCCACCAGCTTCTCAGCAGAGCTGTGCTGACCATGGGAACGAGCAGCTTTGGCTAAACAGGGGGTTTCCTTCTGGGGGAACACCAGCCTTGTCAGTGTTTGAATAGTTTGGACACTAGTTACAAACTTGGAGGGGATTCCTTGGAAGGTTCTGATGTCTGTACTCAGGTGGAGCTTGATACAACTCATAAACATCTGGGTACCTGTCTGTGCTTGTGCAGCCTTGTTCAGGATGAGGCCCATGGGCATGGGCTGCTGCCCAAGGGGTGAAAGGACAGCCCTGTGTGGGGACAAAGGAGAGGGATGCAGACTGGATGGGACACGGGCTGCACCCCCATGAGTGCTCACCCTGCCCTACAAAGGGCCTTGGAAGAGGGAGCCGAGCTGGAATGTGTACTGCTCTCTGCACCCTGCCCTATGGATACACTCAGAGATGTCCTGTGTTTTGTTTTTGAACAGGAAAGGCCAACAACAATGTTCAGTGGGATGAGGACTCCGTAGAGTACATGCCAGCCAACCCAGTCAGGATCGCATTTGTCTTGGTTGTTCATGGCAGAGCTTCCCGGCAGCTCCAGCGCATGTTTAAGGCTATTTACCATAAAGACCATTTTTATTACATTCATGTTGACAAGGTAATATATCACTGGTTATAAATTGCCTGTCTCACCATCTGTCAGTCTACCCATCCTTGTCATCTTCTTCATCTTCCCTTTACCTCTGCTGCATAAAGTGCACGTCACTTTTTGTCTCTCCATCTGTTACATGTTTGGAGCCTCTTTTTTTTTTCCCTTAAATTTTCTTTCTTGTTATCTTATTTATGTAACAGCCTTCATTTCTCCTTCTCTGTTGATGAGTATCTCCCCTTGTCTGTCTGTTGTACATTTAGTTAGCAGTAACTGATAAGTTGGTGCAGAGTGAGGATGGAGAGCTGACCTGAGGTGCCTTGGGCCAGTGACACACTGTAAAAGGGAGGTGGTGGCAGTCACCCCCTTAACAAAAGCCCTTTGAACTCTGTGATGACAAATGGTGAATAAAGCTAATCACAGTGGTTAGTGATTACTGTAGTTGTAATAACAAATATTAACCAGGGTTCTCTGCACATTTAGCAAAAGAAGGTTGTGTGAAATAGAGGGCAAAGCAATGGCAGCACTCAATGCGTTAAGAAGTAGGGTAGGCCTTTAGTGAACACAGGGAGAGACAATTTTGGATGGAATAACTTGAATGTCTCACTCTTCTCTCCTTAAAGCGATCCAATTACTTGCACCGGCAAGTGCTGCAGTTTGCCAGCCAGTACCCAAACGTGAGAGTCACCTCCTGGAGAATGGCCACCATCTGGGGAGGAGCAAGCCTTCTGACCACCTACCTGCAGACCATGAAGGACCTAATGGAGATGAGTGACTGGCCCTGGGATTTCTTCATCAACCTCAGCGCTGCTGACTACCCAATCAGGTACAGTGAGTATTTTAAGGATGCACGTTTTGTTCCTAAAGGATGTATGGAGATAAGCAATGATAAACAATGATAATGTCTGTGCTGTGCTGCAAGAAGCAGAGGAGCAGTTTCTTTTGTTTTACACCAGAAAACTCCTGTTGATGAGCTGGTGTCTGGCAGCCACAATTTAGCCAGGTATTCAACCACCTGCCTGTACCCTGTGTGTCTCCCCTTTGCCTGGGGGGCACTTTCACTGAGAGGCTGCTCCAGTTAGTCATTATTTCCCACAAAAGGGGTACCTGCAAGAGAGGATGAGGAAAGTAGCCAAAAGTGCTGGAGCTCAGCAAATGAAACCCAGGCATGGAGAGATTCCTCCCTCCCAGGGCTCTGATTAACAGTGTCATTTGATACCTTCAACAGCAAGAGTTGAAGGTATGAATATAGATTCAGGTACTCCTCTCCCTTCTTTTAGTACTTTTTCTGTGGAGGATAATGGCTGTGGAAGTGACAAATAAGTTGCTAGGAGTCAATTATATCTTCAGCACCAACCGTGTCCTGAATATCCTCATGCAGATGGCATCAGGCTAAGAATTTCACACCCCATCACATGATAAGGCTTGTGGTTTTAAATGAAATTATATTCTTTCTGGATTTACATCACCCAGGCCTCAGAGCTGCATTCAGTAAGTTTGCTATGTTGTGCAAAAGTAGATAGCTTGTTAAAAACCCCAACCCAAACAAACAAAAAAAAAACCACAAAAAACCCCAACAACAACAACAACAACAAAGCCACCCAAAAACCCCCCAAGTGTCCTGAAGGTGTTTTTAGGTAGGTTGTAAGAGTTACTAAGAAGAAGGAAAGACAAAATTCTTGTGGCTTCTGTTTCCCTCTATGCTGAAATGAACCAATGAAAGGGGAAGTGACCTTCTTGGGCGATTTCCTGATGATACAACTTGGTTTTAATACTCCTGGAAGAGAAATATGCTTCCACTGGTGAGGTTTCTCCAAGATCTCCCTCAAAGTTTGAATCCCTTCCTGAAGGTGCTCTTGGACAGCAATTGCCACTGAAGTGAGCAATGGCAAAACCCCTTAGCCTATGCCTGAGGAAGGATTTTGTGAGGACTGACAAAAGGCTTTATTGCTGATGCCCATTTCCAAGCACTCTCAGTGAAATGCAACACATTTTGGGGAGAAAGATTAGAGCACAAGACTTACTTGAGACTGCCTTGATATTAGAACATGGGGACTTAAATTAAGAAATCATAGTATTTAAACACTTTTGATGTGCAACAAGGAGAAAACAGTTTTGACATATCAACCTTGCTTATAAGGGAGAGTATGTAGTTTTCTGTGTATCTCTTGAGTTTTGGGAAAAGCTAGCTTGTTATTCCTGGTTATTCACTTTCCTGTTGAGGAATGCTGTATTGATGCTGAAAAGTGGTCTAATGCAGGACCATAAAGGAATAAGTAGGTGATGGCACTGTGAATTAAACAGGATAAATTGCAGGAGAGTGCTGAAGGTCTGGTGTGGTTGTACCCTCGTGCCTGCAGGTGTGTCCAGCATTCCTGTGCTGTTGAGCCCACCCCAACCACTGTGTAGTGCTGAGGCCATGACCTGGGGCAGTCTGAACTGTTCCCAGTTCCCTGGGGAGCAAATCAAACCCCCAGGGCCAGATGGAGTCAGTGCCTTCCAGACATGGCCATCAGCAACCACTGTCCTTGTGGGGCAGACTGCAGCTGGTTCAGTGTTCATGGAGTGTGTGATAGCGCCATGCTGTCTTGCAGTCATTCCAACTCTGCTGGAGAAATCCCAGGCACTTGTTTATTCAGAGGGGGAACTCTGGAAGGTCGTGCTTGTCCCTTGCAGCCGCTCTCAGAGCTCTGTGGTGGCTTCCTGGGGGCTCTCAGGGGCTCTTGGGGGCTCTCAGGGGCTCTCAGCACCCAGGCAGGCTCTGAAGTGCTCACTTCCCTTCCTGCCAAAGCTCTGTTACCAGAACTGCAGGGAACATGCTTCCTCTTCATCCCATGATGCACTTCAAAATAATAACAAAAAATAATAAACCTTTTTAGTGCTGCAACTCCACTGACACTGACTTACAAGTAACGTTAAGTATTTCTTTTAATATAGGATATTACAGCTATACCATGGAAGGTCTCGTCTCATCAAATATATATATGAGTCCATTTAATTTTCATGGTGGAGGTTCTATAAATTATTATTATTTATAATCTTTAGGAAGGCATTACCTCCCTGCATAACCCAGAGAGAGCTGATTGTTTTTTCAGGAAATAGTAAAGAGGGTGTTTGGGGGATTCTTTTTTTTCTTTCAGACCCCATGCCATGATTTGTCAGATAATGGGCCAGGGGCACTTTACACTTCTCTCTGGTTAGTCATACTGCAGTGGGTTTTGCTAGGTTTCCCTGCATAAGAACATATGAATTTTGTAGATTAATAGTTTTTATCCAGAGCTGCTTCATATTAAGCTTTTGCTTCCCATCTGCCATTCCATCTGTAATACTGAAACCTTTACTACTTCTCTTCTGATAATAAAAGCTAATCCAGCCTTCTAAGTCAAAAAGCCATACTCAATATGTGGGGTTAATACAATATGATGAAGCCTAAATCTGTCCAGGGAGCAGTCTGGTCTGTTCACAGACTACAGTGGAATTGCCAGGAGCCTTTCATCCTTCAGAAGAGATGTCCAGAAGCAGATGTCAAGCATCATAAAATATAAAGGCATGGGAGAAAAATATTAGAACTATTCATTTTGTGAGGGAAACAATTAAAAATGTGCAAAATAAAACATATGCATGCCAGGAAAATCCAGATATCCTTGTTATTCCTCCTCATGCCTGAATGTTTTGTTTGTGGAGTCTGTAGGTCCAGCACTAGCACAGGGGAGTTTCTAACCCATGTGCTTCTTACTGAGTACAAACCACTGGCAAACAGTCTGGACACAAAGGTGCCTCCAACAAAAGTGTTTACCTTTAATCAAGAGGCAATATGTTATTTATTGGGCTAAGTGAAAAGATGTGGTGCATTATCCACCCTTGACTTCATTCAGCTCTGTTAAACATTCTCAGCAGGAAAAGGAGGGGTGAAATGGTTAAAGACAACCTCCACAAGTAAATCAGAGATGGGAGGTTGTGTGACTGTCCCTCCTTTTGCTCTGGGCTTGTGAATAAAAAAGGAACAGATTTGGAGGTTTCTCAAGAAATCATCTCTCACTGTCACTGCATTCACAAAGAAATGGAAGAAATCAGCACCTTCCTTCCTTTTCCTTAACTTTTTTTTTTTTTAATTTTAGTGGTATTTTTTCATAATGTAAAGTCTTTTCTTTTGGGAGCCTCTTTCAAAACCTTATGGGAAAGCTATTGATGTCTTCAACCTCTAACTTTACATGGCTATCTATTTGCATTATTTATTGTCTCTGACAAACAGCATAAAGTAGTCAACCTTATGTTCAGGGACTGAAATTTCACTCCCAACAAGGTGAACTATGATAGAGCATCTATTCATGCTGAATGTTTAATGTGCATTGCAGGAGTCCTTGGATAATGTGGCAGGTGAAGTGTTGCACCACTTAAATTAAGGAGTTTAATGAGATCATTTAACAGTGAATATCGTGTCAGTGCTTACCTGGCCACAGAGCTTGTATAAAGAATAAACATAATGAAACATTTGAACTATTTGTAATTTACAGTAAATCACTGAGTCTCAATCACCAAAGGGATCACCAAATCTAATTGCCAGCTAATGCTTGGTCTTTAATAAAGGTCAAGCAAAATTATTAGCAGAAGCTTGGGGAGTGCTTCAGAATAGTAAGAAAATAAAGTGTCTTATAGATGGAGCCAGGAATGCAGATACAACTACAATTTCCATCCTGGGCAATCAGGTATAACAAAATAATTTAAATGAAACCCAGTGAAACTATTTGTGTTGTGCTGCTTGGCATTATTTTAGGATGAAGTTGTGTACTTCCCATAAAAGCCTGTGTTGAGAAGCCTCAGTTAAATGAGACCCATTCAGCAGAAGTTTGGATCTGGTGCTTGAATGGAAGGTGTATCATCATGAAAATAGCAGCTGAGGTGCTGCACACTACAGGGAGTGAATGGGATGGTCTGACTGGCCCTGCTCCTTTAAGCAGGTGCCAATATGGAGATTATCTTTGCCAACCAGAATAACACAGAAATTTAAAAAACTGAGCTAGAAAATAACAATGACTGACCTGCACTTGCTTCATTGTATTGCCCTCTGTTGGTCAAGGTGACACTGGTTGATAAAAAACCAAAGTGATGCCTTCTAAATGAGGTCCCTGGGCCAGAGAAATTTGCCAAGAGTGAAAAGGTGGGAGTGCAGGGAAGAGATGTTCAGGTTTTCTTCTTGTGGTAGGTGAAAATAATTACAACCAACAGATTTTAGGAAGAAGTTCAACCTTTGGGAAAAATGCTTTAGCACTTTTTCAAGTTATTTTTCAGGTGCTAGAAGTACCTGGGAGATCATGTCCTTGTTTCTGCCACTGGCTCAGTTTCATCCCCTGCAAAGCATGGGTGACTGCCATTCTATATAAACTACATCAGGGATGATTTCTGTTGTGTCAAATTCCCCATGACCTGCCCCATTTCACCTGTGACCAAATGACACAACCTTTGGAGCAGGTGACAGGGAGAAGAAAAGAGAATACAGTTTGCCTGGAGTGGGCACACCAGACTGGAGCTCCCCAGCTGCTCTTGCAAAACTTCTCAGCTTGTGCAATGTGCAGGCTTGAAATGCAATATTGGAAATACAGGAAAATCTCCTCTCAGAGCTGAAACAAAGCAATTGGCTTTCATATACAGCACTCTGGCTCTGGGAGAAGTGTCTGAGACCCAGCTGTGCCCTCTTGATGGCTGTGAGCTCGGAAATCCCAAAGCCAGCAGGGCTGATGGGAGCTGTGCAATGGCAAACAAGGCAAAGCCATTGGCTCAAGAGGCAGTTCCACTCTCTCTGTCTCACTTCTCGTCCATTTGACTGGA